TTCTGTTTATTACGTGTGTACTCTAATTTTATATCTGTCGTGCTTAAATTAGGGAGAAACTGTAAATACTGATGATGGTAGATTGTATTTTGAATTGTTAATTGCTAATCATTACATAGTTGGTCATTTGATTGTTTTATTAGTTCACTTGAAACTCCAATGGGGTGTCTCCTTATAATGAAACATCATTGAGATATCTTTTTTATTTTGTTTCATTTATACTGTCATATTATATTACATCAATGATTTTACTTCTTGTCTTTTTCTTTATTTTCATGAATTTCTACTAGTTCTACCATCAGTTTTTATGTCGGTGTTCATTTTCTAAGATAAAAGCCACCTACAGTCCACAACAGGTGCCAAGAAAAGCTTAAGCAAGCTTGAACACAAGTGCTACTACAAAAAATAAAAAACAAAAAGCTTATGTGAAAATTTCATGACAACAGATACTAGCAATGGCTGACTCTTGTTTTCTGCTGTTTGGTAGAGAGCATCTGAGAGCATGAAAAACTAGCGTTTAAGAAGCTCATCAATTGAAAATTTAATGGAAACAAAATAAGGGAATATATTTTGAAAAATATATATTAAACATTTAAAATATTTGTTACATTTATATACCATGGTTTGAAAGGAATCAGCAACAATATAAAGCAGGGTTTTGTTCTGTAATTGCTGATTCTGACGACCACTAGATCAAGCATTGCTTGCAAATTCCGATACATAATGAGACAAGTCTACTATCACACTCACTCTCTGACTAGGTCAAGTAGGTTCAATAACATCATCAAGATGGAAATCATTTTTGTAAATCAGTTATCTATTCCACTAATGCCATAGTAAATGAATTTCAAACGAGAATGGAAGGAACCAAACAGAAATATAAACAAGCCAGGCATAGCATTTTAATGTTCCAACATCACAAACCTTGTTAATACTTTCCTAGTGGTTGGGCTGTTCTCCTCTTGCATCAACACTCAAGATGCTGATTCTGTTAATGCTATAAATATGGAGAATTTAACATGCCCCTAATAGATGTGTGTGTTTATGTCGAGTCCAAACTACCTTATGGATGTCATCACTTGTCTGTTCACTCACTTTATACCTCTAGAATTCTAAGTGCTAAAGTTGCTAGATCTGATCACAAAACCAGCCCCACCATAGTCCTCCTGTGCACAAAAAGAACCATCAGTGTGTAGTTTGCACCATGTTTCTTTGTACATCTTGCAAAGACTTTGGTGCGGGCCAAATCTGAAATAGTTCATGTTAAAACGAACTGATGGGTGAGAATTTGCATCGAACTGTCATTTCTATCATTCATTCTACCATGTCGTTCCAGATACTTGGTACTTATTTTTTAAAATATGCTTTCTTGCTGGTGTAACACCTGAGATATAGTGCTGTTAGACGCAGATTTATTAATTTCGTTATGAGATCATATCATTTATGAGCTTATATACAATTTATAATTGATACTGCTCATATTTTTTCAAAAGAAATAAGAAAAAATTAACATTCTTTTATCTCCATAGGTGTGGGAGTGATGTTTATGTTACATTGTAATGAAAAGGGATAACATACTCGAGGATTTCTTCTTTTTGTAGAAGTCATGATATTCCATGGTTTTGTATATTTGCCATTTTTGCATCAGAAACAAACAGTTGTTTGTAACTTTCATATTGACATGACTTGGAAATTATCAAAACAATTCACTTTACAGATTACTAAATGTGTCATATCTGTTAATTTGTTTTAAGTTATGAACTAATATGTTTTCTACCTTTAATGCAGTACAATCTCAAGTGACTTGGGTGGATCTCCGTTTGGGTAATCTAACTAATCCAATATTAGAAAGCATTAACATATTATGTGAGAGTTGGATCCGGTTTTAGTGACAATGACTGATTGGTGTGTATTACTGCAGAAATGTTGTGTCATTTAGTGATGGAGAACCGGGTGAAGGCTGTGGAATTCCCTACTTCTATTTGACGACACTTGATCCAACTGCAAGGGATGCATTGACAGATGGAAGGTCATCCTTTACCCTTAGTGAATTTGCCCTTGGATCTTGTGGCAAGATAGATCCTGAAAATCCTACTTGTGCAAAACTTACACTCACAGGAAAGGTATAATACACAACTGTAATTAATAAGAGGTTTCCTTATTGTTTTAGTTAAATCTGTCGATATCTTTTTTGCCTTTTTGTTCTTTCTAATGATTTTTTATAAGGGTTTTTAATTTTAATGCTAATAAACTAGTCTAATCTGGAACTATGTTGGGTTTGTCACTAGTTTCTTGAAGTTTTTAAATAGGTTTCCTGTAATTTCATGTGTAACAAGAAATTATGATCCGAATCACCATAGTCAAACTCTTGGATGTTTTAAATTATTTCTCATATTGCTATACATCTAATAATATATTTATTTTCTAGACAACAGGTTATACGTGTAAGATTGTAGTAACCACTAGCCACTTCAAAGTTATGACTTGATGCCTCATGGAAAGTTCTTATTGATGACCTTGGGGCTTCTGGAGAAGGGAACATCCAGCACATAGTTCTGTTTCCTCAATGCGTCAATTGCACTTCCCAAGGTGTCTAGGTGTCTGGCCTACCTGAATGTCTAGGCACCACCTAGGTCGAAAGGGGTACTTTCCTTCTATGAATTGTAGACTTCTTAAAATGAAAGATGTAATATTACACAAAATTATGGCTAATGGAGTATTGTGACTGCATACAATGTAGGTGGTGCATTGTATGCAGTCACACTTCATACCTGCATTGTATGAAGGTCTTTGCAGTTACACTTCCAACTCTACTAATTATACTGTGTATCAACTCAATATGAGGCCTTCATAATCTCTGCTAATTTTAGTTTGTCAACTTTGTTGTATTTTTAAGAGTGTATTTGTTGACTACACAAGGAGTTATGCATAAAGCTCTGAATATTAGTTTTCCTTGGATATTTGTAGTTCTAAAATTTAAGTCACATATAGTCTCAATTTCAAATTTGACGATATTAAAAGGGTAGCTAGTGATGAACTACTCTCTTTTGGTTAAAGGAATGTGATTGAGGTATCAGTGGAATGTATGTATAGAATCTTATGGTACTTTTTGCATGTTTTTCATTTTTCGTAACAAAGCTTTGCATTCACTATGGCAAAAATTTTAGGAAGTAATATTTCATCTCAATATTAGATCACTAAGCTGCTTGCTTAATCTCAATATAATATAATTAAGCTGCATGCTTGGTCTCAAATCTTGTCCCAATTAAACCATAATTGTTGTCAAACCAAAACAATAGTTCTGATTCAATCTCGTTAGAAGCGACAAACTTTAAGATATTTTAAGCCAAATTTGAATTTTTTATTTGTGTGAATAAGATGCATAACCTTCAGATAGCTGATCAAATAAATCCTCTCTGTTATTGGAGTATCCTGGACTTCAATTTTTTTTGCATGGACAAAGAAATGATGAGCGTATATATTGTTGTCTCCCGCTTTAGTCTAAACTCTTTGTAATCATTAATTTTGTAGCTGAAATTGGTAGATAGTCAGTCCAGTGAAGCTGAGTTTGCTCGAGATGCATTGTTCGCTAAACATCGGGAGATGAAGGGTAGGCATGTGAACTTCATAACATTCGTATCAAAATGCTCATTATTGTATTTTGATTCTCACACGACTTCAGTCTCAGACTATCTAGCTATTGATATTTATATTGGTGGTTGCAGACTGGCCCAAGAATCACAACTTCCAAATCTTTAAATTAGAGATTGAGGACATATTTCTGATTGACTGGTTTGGTGGACCCAAACCGCTATCTCCAGCTCAGTACCTCAACCATGGAAAAGAACTGTCTGTAATATAATATATAACACTGATGAAGAATGAACAAAGTAAAATAATAGAAGAAGGTGATTGCCTTGGATTGTCTTCTTTTTTACTTTCAGATCTTTACTATCTTAACGATTTTACTTTTCCAAACTGATATTTATATTTTAAAGCAGGAACCGGCTTCTCATAATACTAGATTCATCAAGAACTACATGAGATGAGGTGAAATCTGGGTTCCCAAGGAAATAATGTGCTGATGTCCATATTTGTGCTCTGTATCATGTGTCTCCTGTGTGTTTATTGGCTGGCCACACATTCATCAAATCTTGTCAATGGTATGACTATTTTGGTTCTGCCTGTTCAGTGTCAAATTTGGGTGAGCTACAGATTCCCCAAAGTTGTATAAAGCTTGTTCGCAAGATCTTTTCATTTGATGTTCTATGGGATGACCAATCTGGTTTCTAAATTTGTATAACACATCAAGAATATATATAGATCTTGTTAGACTTAACCTATCACCAAATGATGTATCACCAAATTTTTGGCATAACCAACTCATCATTTGGTGCTACTTGATCTGTTGAGCAGTGTGCATCACAAGATAGATAGCCATATGTCTCAAGCTGTTATCATCCATGTAACAGTGAAGATGAAGTGACAGATAATAATGTGACACAGGGCATTAGAACATAATAGTTGTATTTAATTAATAAAACTTTTACATCCTCCTCTGCACTATATAATTGCTTAACCTTAATTATGTTTTATCCTTAACTATAATTGCTTGATAACAAAAGAATATTCATGTACAATTTATCTATGTAAGACCTCAAATCATGACCAATGATCATGATTAATAATGATTAATTTGATTTTGTTGTATGGATAAGATTGATCGAGAATAGATTACAAAATTGAATAACATTACTTCGTTTCGTTTCCCAACAAAATCCATTTCTTTCTCTTAATTTTTTTTCTTTGGATGACGAGAAATATATATATATATATATAT